AAGTACTTATTAAGTGTTTAGGTCAACAATCAAAACCCCAAACAAAACCCTGTAAGCTTTAAAAAAATGTGTTAGTCATAGTATAATCAATTTCTTAAATTTACCATTACTAATTACTAATATTTATAAAATGATTAGCTTGCAGAAATAAAGCTCATATTGAAAACTCAACACTGGACATGTTTACTAACAAAGGAATAAATCATCTTCATTGCACTTTCAAATATAATTGGTTCTTTTTAAAGTAAAGCTAAAAACACCATTGCATCAAGAAGCAAATTTTATAGATATAAATTCTAAAATCTTTTAAAGCTTTAATAATTTTAATTTTTAAGTGTCTAAAACAGACTATCTTTTTGTTTTAAGATAAATAAATATCCATGGTAACTTATTTTCTTCTTGAAAGACAAAAATAATAATACTAATAAAATAATCAATAGTGCCTGCTAAGATTTTTTAAAACTTGTTTTCAATGAGGTATTTCTTAAGTTCATTAAAAAAAATTTACCAGTGTCTCAACTGTCTTACCAAGATGTCTTCTAGGAGCAGGATGGACCTTTATTTTTGCATTTCATTGCTATCTTATTTCACTGATGATTGTATTGAAATAGGAAAAATTTTACCCCAAATCACTTCCTTACACAAAACACAGACTTCAAGATATGTGGACACGATTCATCTATGCATTCAAAAATACTGTGACACACTACATGTAACACGCAGTGAGCACGACAGGAAGGAACAGAAGCACGACCCGCTGCCTCACTGCAATTCAATCCTCTCGCCTTGGTTACACTAAATGTGCCGAACCTTGAGAATTCCCCTCACCTTGAGCTTTCACGGAAAGCTCAAACACTTCCATAATAATGAAATAATGTAATGTAGTATAAAGATCCAGGTAACAGGTCATCACCAAAGCCTCAGTTTTCTCTCTCCTAAAATAAAGTAGTTGGACTATATCTCTTTTCTATTTAAATAGGCTGTTAGGGACTTAATTCAGGACCTGCTCTACTATGCATAATAGCAAAACCCTGTTAACAACCTAACGTGAACCAATATTCCAAACAATGGAATACTGCATGACCCTTAAAAAGAGCTGTAGATCCCTAAAAGCTCATTTAAAAGGATGTTTCAGGTAGCCTGTTAAGACAAAAATGCAAAATATAGATACTATGGCCCAATTTATTTGTGTCTTAAGACGGAGATATACATATAGGTACAGAAGTGTTCTAGGACACACAAGAAACTTCGAATGATCCTTGGTGGGAAATAGGATGCTAACTTTTTTTTAAACCTCTTAGCCTTTCACAATATTTGAAAAAAAATTTATATCATGAGCACCCATTATTTTAATGAATTAAAAAAACTAAAAGTCTGCTGATTTGGGTTCTATAATTAGAAAAGACCTGGGTTCAAATGCTGGCTTGGCTATTTACCATGTGTGATGTTAAGCTACTTACTCTCAATTTTCCCATCTCTAAAAAAAAGTTAATAGTATTAATCTCACACAACTGTCAGGACAATAAAAGAAAATCATTCAAGGACCTGGCTGGTGTGGCTCAGTGGACTGGGTGCCGGCCTGAGAACCAAAAAGTTGCTGGTTGATTCCTGGTCAAGGCCCTGTGCCTGGGTTGCCAGCCAGGCCCCCAGCTGGGGGCATGTGAGAGGCAACTGATGAATGGATCTCTAACACACTGCTATTTCTCTCCCTTTCTCCTTCCCTTCTCCTCTTTCTAAAAGTAAATAAATAAAATCTTTTAAAAAATTCATGCATGTGAGACACTCAACACAGCACATTGTAAGAGCAGCTACAATTATGATTATTATGAATGTTATTATAAGCCCCACAAACTGAGAGAATTTAGAATCTGACTTGCCAATTCAGCCAAGATGACCAGTCTCAAAGACGACCAATTTCCTTTGCCCAAAGCTCATTCAATCAAATTGTGTAAAAGCATATTTATGAACTTTGGTCAAAAAACCAAAAAAACCCTCTCACAGATAGCAGGTGGGCTGATGGTTATGGTAATCAGAGCAAAGTCTGAGTTTTAATTCAGCATCTAACCAGAACAGTCTTTCTCATCATATGGATACCTATAGAAAGGGCCACAATACTCATGACAATGGGCAAGGGACCCTGATCTTTACAAAATGCTGAATACATAGAAATACATGTTTATTTTTAGTAATTCAAGCTGCCAACATGAGTTTTTAAGATAAACAATTTCTCATTTTCCTAAAAATTTATGGCACTAACAGTTTATGCACATAATTTATGCATTAATTACAAATAACATGTCAACCCTGGCTCGTGTGGCTCAGTGGACTGGGCGCTGCTGCCCTGTGAACCAAAAGGTCACCAGGTTGATTCCCACCTGGTCAGGGCACATGCCTGGGTTGTAGGCCAGGTCCTTAGTCAGGGGCTGTGAGATGTTTCTCTCTCACAACCATGTTTCTCTCCCTCTCTTTCTCTCTCCTTTTCCCTCTCTCTGAAAATAAATAAATAAAATCTATTTATTTATTTTCAGAGAGAGGGGGAAGGGAGGGAGAAAGAGAGAGAGAAACATCAATGTGCGGTTGCTAGGGGCTGTGGCCTGCAACCCAGGCATGTGCCCGGACTGACTGGGAATTGAACCTGCGATGCTTTGGTTCGCAGCCCGAGCTCAATCCACTGAGCTACGCCAGCCAGGGCAATAAATAAAATCTAAAAAAAAAAAAACATGTCAAACAACTGGTGATATAAAAATGCATCTCCATAAAAATAAATTACAAAAGAAGCTTACTAAATGGCTTTTTGAGTGGAACTCTTCTTCACAAAATTTTCAAAAATTCAGCCTGAATATTATCAAATCAAAATACTACAAGTTGTAAATCTGGCCTTTATACCAAAAGCATTCTCACAAAGTACCACTCTAACAATATTCAATTTAATTTGTCCAATGACCAAGAACACATCCTAAAGTATATAACAACTGAAAAATGTTGTATTATGGTAGATTAAATCAATATGCAGTACAACTGGTATTAGTCCATCATGTTACAATTTTAACAAGCCTTCCCAGTAATTAGAGAACAGTTTCAATATCAATATGATGTATTAAAATTTAGATCACCCCAATTACAATTACAAAACAAAGTAAGAGGTGACATGTACATCTAATCCTTTTGCAAAATGAAAATAAAAGAGGCTCCAATTCATTTGTCTACTGTAAATTTGTTAGGATTTAAACTTTCAGAATAGTAACTTTCATATCACACAAATAGTTGTATTTGAATACACTGAACAGTTACTGTAGCTTTCCTGAGAGTGACCTGAAGTTCCCACCAAAAATACTGGCGCCTCAATGAGACTCTGAGAACTGCAAGCCAACTTCATAGATTATTGCAGTATGCTAAACTGGCATTTGAAGATTGTATTGAGCTAGCTACACGAGAGCAAAGATAAGGGAACAGAGTTTATATAAAAAAAAAGAAAGAAAACACTTCTTAACCTATGAGCAAGAGCTATTCAGAAACACCATTTTAAAATACTACACACATTTCTAATCTTCTAACACTCAAAATACAGCAGATAGATAATCTACAACAAGCAGATCTTCCCACCCCTTCTCAGCGCCACACAATGCTTTGCCAAGAGCACAAACCCACGTAAGATAACTAATGCAATTTCCTTGTTTACTTCAAGAATTGCAGAAAACACGTTGACTGCTTCCGAGGCCTCTGAGTCAAACGACTATTTAAAAGACTTTTCACGATCACGTTTGAAATAAGGGAGTAGTAATGATTCCTTCAGCTAGTAAAAATATAGTCTTAACTTTATTAAAAGGGTTAAATTTTACACTGCAGTTCATTAGTATGCCTTGTTTGCAACCAGAAGGAAGAGGGAGGGGGGGCAGCAAAACACAAGATGGAAAACATCACTACCTCCTTCGGTGGTTATGAATAATTTTAAATGACCTCAAGATGGAAGGGAAGAGTACATGAATAGAAAGAAAGGGGGTTGACCATCTGAAACGGCCCCTTCCAGAGTCATACTGATGTCGGAGAGAAGGAATTTATTTACACTGCAGTGCCTGGCAGCAAACATGGCTGCCCCTGCCCCCTTTAAATCTGAAGTCTTTACTCCCTCACCAAAACCATCAAATTACGGCCCAGTCTCGCTCTGTCTTGCTACGATAACACTAACAGTTCTCCTCCAAAACTGTAAGACCCACACCTCCTCATTTCACAGCAATCTCAGCAGCATAACCACTTGCTTCTCTATTCTCCAGCATTGAAAGAAAAGGCACAGAATACACACAAATACAGGAACAAAAGGCTTTCCCTTCCTAACATTAAAAAAAAAACACCCTTCCCCTTCTTTTCCTCCCACTCTGTGATGTCGCCAGTTCCTATCATTTTCAACACTCAGTTAATTTCCTTCCCTATGCCAATACGAGGTCTTCCAGTTTCCTGAGTCTATTTCCTATCTTCCTTTCGCATCCTGTCTCAATCATTTCTCCTCCCTCTTCCTTAGCCGCCTTTTCCTCCACTTCCACTCCCTCGTTTCTCCCTCTCTGCCCACTTCTCCATCAAAGTCGATCTCCTTCCCCACACTCTTCTAGCTCCCACCCTCCAATCCCAAACCTCTCTATTTCTCAATCCGCCCAGGTCTCCAAACCTAACTCCGCTCTTCTTTCCCTGCCCCTCCCCCGTTCCATGTTTATCCCCGCCCCCATCCCACCTCTACTCCCAATTCCCAGCTCAGTGCCACTCCATCACTTAACCCAATCCCACCTCCCCTGCCCCACCTCCCAATCCCCTTCACACCCTACACCTTGCTCTCTTCTCCACCTCTTAAGCTGCCCTCGAACCTTCGCAGGCCACTCGCTTGTCCTCCCATCCCGGCAAGGCGCTCTCTCCCTACCCTGGTCCCATCCCCAGGTCGCCCCCTCCTCGTCGTTCCCCCCTCGGCCCTTGCAACACACATACATGCGCGCGTGCACACACACGTACTTTACCTTCAGTTTGTTCCATTCTAACCCCCCGGCCGTGTCAGTACGATCACAGGAGAGACACGGAGGCCCGGAGCGGGGCTGGGGTGCAGGCAGCCGCCGGGGCTGCGGGGGCAGAAGACGGAACCAAGCTAGGCCGCATGAAATCCCCGGGCTAGATTTCCCTCGCGCCGGCTGCCTCTGCCATGGCGGCGTGCACGGAGGAGGGCCACGGTAGGGCCGGGCCGGGTGCGGAGCGGAGAGGAAGAAGGCTGCAGGAGGTGGGGAAGGCAGGGGAGGCGGAGGGATAGGGGGGTGCCGCGCAGCCGCTGCTACCGGACAGGAGCCTGTGGCCGGCGGTCGGACTGGGGCGGCAAGGTCCTCCGGGTCGAGACGGCCTTCGCACGCGTCTCCGCCTTGATCCTGGCCGTCGCGCCGCCCGCTCCCGCCGCCGCCACCGACGCCGCGCACAAAGCCCCCCCACCCCGACTCTTGGGGCGCCGCCGCCGCCGCCAAATCTTCAGCCGCTCACTGGCTGCCGGGCCGCGGCGCCTACCGGGAAATGCAGTCCCGGGTTCGGGGTGCGGGGGGAGAAAGGAGGAAGAGGCTCGTCCGCGGGCGGGGAGGAGGGGCCAGAGGGAGAACCAGAACTGAGAGCCGTCCGCGGGAGTCCGGACGAGAAGTGAGACCTCTGGCCCGCGAGGCAGACGGAACGGAAGGAAAGGGGCGAAGCGGGGTCAGGACGAAACAAAACTGGAAGACGGGGAACACAGGTTAAAGGTTACGAGCACCGTAACAGGGTGCTCGTGCGTGTTCCGTGTTAAATAAAAGCAGGATTTGGAAACACCAGTGGCACTGCGAGACAGCCCCTACATGTTAGACACAACCGACTAACGAGCGCCTGGTTAGGACGCCCCGAGAGAGCACATCATCTTAGGTGCCTCCGCGGCTGCCTTCTGCCCGACAGCTGTCAGAGAGCAGCTGCCTGTTCCGCCTGGGTCTGCGTCTGGACACCAGGGCAGCAATTTCAGACCCGATCCTCCGGGCGGTCTCTCGCTCAGTCCTGCACGTTTCAGCCGGATGCTGCCCGCCCCCCAAGGGCAAGCATTAGAGGGCTTTGGCGGCGGCGTCTCAACCTCTGGGGGAGCTCCGACCTCCCCAGCAGGTACACGGCCGCGCGCCTCCTTCCTGCTCGCGCTGCGGGCCCGGGGGCTTGTGGGTAGCGAGGAGCACAGAAGCGCCCAAACGCACCCCAGACCCGAGGGCCCAGAGGGCCCGGTGCCCGTCACGTGCGTGGGCTTTCTGCCGCTCGGTGCCAGACCTACTTTCCCAGGGGTATGAGGGCATTTGTCCCAGACGAAGTTCTGGCAAGAATGAGAGGAAGAAGAGGGAGTCCAAATTCTCTAACCCTCTAGCCCTCCCCATCGTAGCAAATTTACGTTAAACAATGGAAGGTCCTGTTGGGGCGGAGGGGGTGACACAACAAACTGTTCTTCCAGGAGTGTGCAGATTTGGTGATATTTCCTGGGGACTGTCCGATAATGACTAGAACGTTGCAGCACAGAGAATATACAAAGAAAACAGGTAGCTATTAGATGAGGAAACCAAAACTCTGAGCTCTGTTCTGAGAATAATAAAGCTGTATCACCACTAGATGTTATCTCTCCATAGATGTTACGGTGCTGGATCTATTTAGTACCCTTACAAGAAATTCCTGATATCTTTAAATGCCACTTAAATAAGAAACTCAAAGTTTCCTACAGACCAATTATTTTAATGATTACTAATTATGTATTAGCTTGTTTAAACATGGTTGTTTAAACCCTGTTAATAATACCAAGGATGATATTCAGAATCATGTGTTCTCTTTACTATCAAGCATTAAATATTTCTAAAACTACGCTAATGTAGTAGCTACATTTTGTGTATAACAAAAGTTAAAGGAATCAATAAAATCACATTTTTGTTTGTTTTAAATGCCTAAATGCCTTTTTGGAACACAGATCTCTAAGGGGACCACCTGAGCTTATTTTAGTTTGATTCTGTCTTCTGGAAAGTAAGGTTAAATTGGTCTTTTTTTCTGCCCTGACCAGTGCGGCTCAGTTGTTTGGGCGATGAACTGCAAAGTGAAAGGTCACAATCACCAGTCTGAACACAACAACCCCAGTCAGGGTGCACACATTGAAGTTTCTGTCCCTCTTTCTCTTCCTCTCTCTAAAAATAAGAAAGAAAATCTTTTTAAAAAATTGTTCTATTGCGGTTGTCCCAATTTTCCCGTTGCTCTCCTCTGCTCCACCTACCACCCCACAAATAAATAAAATCTTTCAAAAATTTGGTCTTTCTTTCTTTCTTTCTTCTATGATCCTTTCCACTTCCACCCTTTTTTCCCACCTTCCCATCTTTACATTGTTTTGTTGATAAATTGTTGCACTGGACAACTGAATTTTCCCCTTGAGGAAAACCTGGTTGTCCCTAGGAATTTTATTTTTATTTTCTTCTAAAACTATGTTGACAAGAGTTTAAAATTAAAGGTATGTTGTTGGCAGCAGTGAGAACAGCACCAGGTGTTAGACCAGTGAGGTCTGGCTGAACCCTGATTCAAGCAACTGTGGTACTTGAGCTCAGGCTAAGAAAAAATTCAGACCCAAGCCTCAAACTATAAGAAAAAGTTTATTCAGAAAGTCAGAGGTAGAAAAAATGAGTGGTGGAAGAAATGGGGCCAGGAAGCAAGTTACAGAGGCCAAAGGCCCTTGGAGTTTAGGAGGGAGAAGAGTAAAGGAAACAAGTCTGTGGTAGAAGGTGAGGGGGAGGGAGAAAGAGCTGGGTTTTTAAGGGAAGGGGATTTTTAGGGGTAGTTCCAGAGGAGGATCTCAACAGAATAATCATCAGCTTTCCAGGTGTGTCCTTTCAGGGTCGTGGTCTCCACTGATTGGTCCTCGCAGGGGCAGGGGTCATTAGTCATTGTGGCTAGTCCTAAAGTCTGCCTTGGCCTTGCTTGTCTGGTTTTGCTGCTTTTCTGGGCTTGGAGCTGAAACACAGCTGAGGCTAGTTGTATTTGATGCAGGTCAGAACCTCATTGTTCTGGGGACTTAATGCTTCAGGCTATTCTCATTCATTTCCTCTCTAAGGGGGCCTAATCTATATGACTTGTAATAAGCCAGGGAAGGACAGGTCTAGGTTGGGTCTGAACCAAATGACCATTGATATGAAAGGTCAGGGGGTCTAAACCGCATGACAAGTGAGTGATATGCTAGGGGAGAAAAGGTTACACTGGGTGAGGTCCTTGTTTTCCCAGTTTTACCTGTTTCTAGACACCCTGGGCCTTCCACCCTGGTGACCTATACCTGGCCCATCATCCTTGCTCTTCTCATGTCTGTCTAACTGTCTACCACAATGTACGGTGGATGCCTTACATTACATAGTCTCTTTTTGCAAAACATTAGAAAATACATTGTTAATAATATTTGATCTGGAGCCATATTTAGGGAAATAGCCATTAAAAAGAACTACATTTTAGCATCTAACATCTGAGATTCAGGATATGCTTCCTCTTCTCCAAAGAAAATGGGCAAATAGGTCATTAAGACAGCATCTAACAATCAGGGCCAGAGTAAGGAAGGAAAACATTTTTTTTTGTTTCTTTTCTGAAGATCATAGATAAAGACTCCTTACATTGTAAATCACTGATCCTGAAAGTCAAAAAGTTGCCAGTTTTAGTAACATAAGGCAACATTGCTTTGAACAAATGAATTTCAATGTGAAAGATTCTTAACCCTTCCCTTTTCAGAATAGGGTTGCTAACATATGGCCACAATAGAGAAATATAGCTCATCTTTCAAATAGTGGTCTTGGAATCACTTATCTGGTTTATGAACACTTAATAACATTCCCTGTGCCTGGTTGTACATGAATACAATGCATGAATAAGAATATTTCTCAGTATAAAATGTCTCCCAGGGATATAAGAAGAGTATTTTTGCATCCTTATGATCTGTTCCAGAAAAGTATGGGTATATGGTAGTGTTTAATTTATGAAATTAATGTGAAAATTATGCCATGCCTTTTTACAGCTCAAAATTTACCATGAAGAATTTTCAAGAAAAGAAAAAAAAGCTAAAAATACCAAAGCTTTGTAGAATTTGTTAATTCTAGTAAACAGAATGTGAAGTGAAACCTTTATGTGGAAAGTTGGGCATCAGACGTGCACAAAGAGCCCTCTACTGGCCAAACTGAAAAGTTATTGGCTTATTAACATAGTTGATCCATTTAGTTACTAGCTGAAAAATGCTTTGTGGATTAAAAAAAAACACCCTGGAAATTTAATACCCGCCATCTTTCATTCTTACAAATGTGCAGCCCAGATGAGTAAAGTGTGTGGTCAGCGAACATGTTAAGAGAAATGTTTTCCGTGAGAAAGCTCTTCCTTGTTGTCTGGCGTTAGTCAACGGGGAGCCACTAACATTTTTTTTCTTTCTTCTAGAGCTAGGTGAAATGGATGGGTAGAGAAAACTAGGTGGCAAAAACATTTCTAGATCTTTCACTTTCCCAAGATGGCTCAGTTGGCCATCCTAAGAACTGAAGTGCCCCCCAAACCTGCATAGCTACCGTAATATACAGTTTAAATATTGAGATTTTTACAGAAAGTACGGATCAGAAGTAATACCTGTTAAGAGAACATCTGTAAAACAAGTTCAGATTACACAGCATCACAGTCTCCGACCCGCGGGATGCTTTCGTTATCACTCCCTCTTTCCAATGCCCTCCCCGCCTCAGTCGCGCAGTCGAAGGGGGTAGGGGAAGCAAGGAAATACATAAGTGATGTAATTCGTGACTCAAAGGTGGTTACCATGGCGACTATCAGGCATATTGCGCCATCCGGAGGTAAAAGCCTCCTTTAGTCCAGCTTTCAATGAAGCGCTTTCAGGAGGGGATAACCCACAACCCACAGACTGTGCACAAGAAGGAAAATGTCCGGCTACCTCCCCGCCGCCGCCCCCGCCCCCGCCCAGGCTCCTCAAACTACCCTAGCCGGGCAGCGAGGCTTGTTTGCTCGTGGGAACGAGACTCCTGCCTCCAGGGATGCTGCCGCGAAGGACGCCCCGACACCGAGAGCCCATTGGCGGGCGGTGTCGTCACTCAGAGTGACGTCAGCGGCGGGGAACGCGCGCAGCCATGGAAACGGCCCGAGGCCGTTCGAGCTCCGGGGCCCGGGACCTGGGGGAGCGGGAAGGGGCTGGAGGACCGAGGCGGCCGTTCCGGGAGGTGGCCCGAGGAGGTAGGGGTGGGCGGACCCAGCCCGCGGGCGGCAACCTGCGGGTCGTTCCTGCCGGTTTCCCCGCGGAGCCCGCTCCCGTGGCGCCCTGCTCCGCCCCGCACCGCCGGTTTCCCTGGCAGCCTCCTGCAGTCCGGCGCGCCGTCCTCAGCCCAGGACCTTGGCCTCCTGTCCTCCCCACAACTCGGGGCTCAGTCCCCACTCCCCCCCCTTTCGTGCTGCGCTGCCTTCGGTCTCTCCGCAGCCCGCGCCCGGCTTGTCCTCCACCTTCCGTAAACTCGGGTCGCCGGCAAGGCTCGTCCCCGTGTCTGCACCGCTCCCGCACCCGAGTGCAGGGAAGCACCCTAGAGCCCGCCGCAGTGAACACACTCGGTCTGCACCACGCGCGCAAACGCCGCCGGCTGCGGAAAGCGAGGGCGCGTCTCGCCCCCTGCGGCCAAGTGCGGACAGCGAAGGCCTCACAGGGCCAGGGTCGGGCGTGCGGGCGCGGGCGGGACTCTGCCCCTCCCGACCGGGAGGTGTGCGCCCGCCGCGGGGGCGGGGTGGCCCGGCCTCTGCGCCTACTCGCCGCCGGGTGGGGTCAGGGCTCCCTCCAGCAGGAGAACGCCCTTTAGTCTGGTTCAGATGCGAAAAGTATTATTTAAACTCTTGATCAGAATGTCAGTTCCGTGGTCGAGGTTTCTGTCCCTGAGAGACCCTAGTACTCTTTTCCCAGGTGCAGAGCAGCTGAGTTGACACTAGACTACAAGATGTTACGGCTCCTTGCCACTCTTGGCAGAAAAGCGCTGCAGGATGGAAGGTTTCTGTAAAGCTTATCTAAAGGTATAAAGCTCTGTGGAGAATCACTAACACAAGAAACCGGTTTGCCTTCATGTGACCTCTTAGTAGGTACCATGTGTATCTTCACTGCTACTTGAATGAGTACTTTCCATTTTTTTAAAAGTTTGGGGCAGTTTGGCCAAGTATGGAAAACACTAATTTAAAACAAATCCAAGACATTTACTTTATACCTGTATTTTTAGGCTACCAATAAGTGTGCCTTGCTCAGCTTCTTGAATACTTGGCAACCATTTAAGTAGATTGTTAGGTGCTATCGACCAGATATCAAAGTGTCTTTGAAGACCATACCACCGTGAGCTGCGTTTCTGTTTGTTGAGATCACAAAGTGCCATTCTCAAATCCAGGGCTAAGAAAACAATATTCAAGTTGTTGGACGTGAACTCAAAAGAGATTTTATACTTTGAATAAGATATGCAAATACTTTACCCTTGAAATAGTTAAAAACACTAGGATCCTGGGATCTTTATAATTGATGTGTTTTTCAAATACTAAATTGTTTCTTAATTCCTTCTGCCTAGGTCCCTATGTTGACTAGTTGAGACAAATATGAATAGGGCCTTCTACAGTTACAACACAGTCCTAGCTATTGCCCGGGCAAGGTAAGCCTTGTAATTTCTCTACTGCTCCCAATATTTATATGAATTTTATTCTTCTAGATGAAAAAGATATATGTAAAAAGATAGGCTTAGTAGACAAAGCTTTGTTGGTTTTAAGGAAGCTGACGTTTTAATGTACTTAAACTTATCCCAAATTTTGTATATGCTTTAGAACTCAGGCTGAGTAATTTTGTAGATGTGTAGTACAAGTAAGATACAAGATGTAATGGTTTTAGAATGACACTTCTGTCATTGATGAATGCTACATGAGGCCCTTAGGAAGAAAAAGGCATAAACATACTGGCCAACAAGTCAGTCCCAGGGCCAGTATCTGCCCCAGCAAGGTCTGTTAACACTTATTTATTACAAAGACTTCACTGAGAACTTACTATGTGCCAGATGCACTGTATGTCTTCCCTTTTAGCCATTCAAAAAGTATTTTTATCTTGGCATGCTTCAAAACCAAAGAATGGAAAAAGCCATCACTTTGCCAAAAGAAGTCTCTTTGCCAGGAACTTTCTTTGCCTAGATAATCTTATATATTTTTTTTCAAACAGTCATGTGCTAGTTCAAGTGAAGATTGTGAACTATTGCAAAGTAGACTGTAGAAATCCCTGGCTGGGGTGCCCAATTCTAGTTCTTATTTCTAAAGGTTTGTTTGCTTTTTTTTTCTTAAGGAATCTTAGGTGAAGGACATTTCAGCCGTAAATCCCTCTCATTGGAGGGGTTCCATGGGCACTGCATAGACAAGACCATGTTATGTGATTGATTAACCCCCAAGGGGACCTTGAAGTTATTCATTCAAACAATATTATCAATAGAGTAGCTGAAGACAAAAGTCTTCTACATGTTTTCTGGTAGTAGATTAGAGGCAGAATTTTCAAACATAACCCCTGGTGAAAAAATATTTGCTTTTAGATTTTTAAATGAATAGTCTCCGAGTTTCTAACTTCTAATATAGCGATTATTCTTAGGAATGACCTTATTAGTATTTCTCATAGAGTATTTAATTCAGCCATAAAGCTTACTGTTCTTCAGCTGGGATAACAAGTTATATTTCATTCACTAACAAATGGCATCTGCTGTAAAATAGAGGCTTTAAAACTATTGCTTCATTTTGACCAGATATAGTATCTATTTCTTTAACTTTTAAGTTTTTAATAGGTTGTGTCAACTCAGAGGATGTTGCTCTTTATTCCAGATTCCCTAGCCATTTTGTCCATCCTACCTGCTCTTCTCATTTCCCATCACTTGCATTTCTTCACTTGCCAGAGTCCCATTTAAATCAAACATGTGTGAAGAACTATGGGAGCAAGACGTACCCCTGTGTCAGTCAGCCAGGCGCTAAAGCACTGTCCTTACGCACCAGAACAGCACAGAAGCTGCACACGTCCGCCCGCTGGCTCCAGGAGGCCCCGGGGAAACCTCAGCTGCAGCAGGCCCCCCAAAGGCCACAGGAGACATGCCCTCAGCCCGCAAAAGAGATTGGTACGAGGACTAAGGAAGAAAAGCGATCTTACAGACAAAAAATTATGGATGAACTTAAATATTATTACAATGGATTCTCTTTGCTTTGGATTGACACCAAAGTTGCTGTGAGAATGATTTGGAGGCTGCTGCACGGGCAGGTGCTGACCAGGCGAGAGCGACGAAGGGTAGGCAAGAACCACACTGAAGACGGAAAATGAAAAGTTAAAATGAACTATTTAGGAACCAAGTTTTAAATTCAACTTAACATTCATTTAAAAAAAACCCAAAGTAGTAATAGTAACTGATGGTGTGAAGGAAAATTTCCTACTGAGTTTCTTATCTGCAACTGAACTGCTGTACAATTTTAGGCAAAATTCTTTAAATTTGTATATATATATATTTGCCTATAGAATGGTTATAATTGTGCTTTCCAATCTCTTCAAGGAATTGAGGGGCTGCAGTTCTGATCTATGCATCTCAAATACAAACTGTAGTTAATATATCAAGTATATGCATTAAAAATTTTTTAACATACTATGTTATTATGAAGTCCAGACCCTTAAGTTAGATGAAAGCTAGAAGATGCCAATAATATGTTGTGATTGTCATAGGTTTCCTTGAGGATAACCCATTAATATTACTTAAGGGCTATAGTAAAGAGAATTCCCCCTTCCCATTTTACAAACAGCTGCAGAAAATGCATTGTGTTTTTTAACACTTGAAGAGCCAAAGCAGGCTTTTTAGTTTTAGTTCTTTTGCTGCATCCTAAAGTAATAAATATTGCATATGCATTTAATTCTCTAGCTGTTGCGGACCTGTGTTGATATCTTCCGCTTGGTCCCGTTTCTGGTGTTCATAATTGTACCCTTCATGGAGTTCTTATTACCAGTGTTTCTGAAACTCTTCCCAGAAATGTTGCCATCAACCTTTGAAAGTGAATCCAAAAAGGTATGTAGGAATTATTAACTTTTTTAAAAAAATGGACAGGCTTCAGTTTTAAGGTTTACAGAAAAACTGAACAGAAAGTACAGAGAATCCCCAGGTACCTCATCTCCCCTTTCTGCCATTATTAACATCTTGCATTAATGCAGTACCTTGTTAGAGTTGAAAAACCAGTATCTACACATTATTATTAATTAAAGTGTATACTCTACATTAGGGTTTACTCTTTGTGTCGTACAGTTTTATGGATTTTGACAAATGCACATCGTCATATATCCACCATCACAGTGTCCTACTGCCGTAAAAGCCCCCTGTGATTCACCTGTTTGTCCCTTCTTTCTCTATCCCTTGACCGGTGGCAACCACTGGTCTTTTTACTGTCTCCAGATTGTAAAAAGTTTTGCGTTTTCTAGAATGACATATTGTTGGAATCATACAGTGTGTGTTTTTTCAGACTGACTCCTTTTACTTAGCAATATGGTTCCTTCAAGTCTTTTCATGCCTCATTTCTTTCAATTATGGCATAATATTTCTTTGCATGGATGTACCACAATGTAATCATTCACCTATTGAAGGACATCTTGATAGCTTCCAATTTTTGGCAGTTATGAATAAAGCCACTAAAAATATCCATGTGCAGGTTTTTGTGTGGATGTAAGCTTTCAACTCATTTGGGTAAATACCTAAGAGGGCAGTTGCTGGATTGTATGGTAAGACTGTTTAGTTTTATAAGAAATCGATGAACTGTCTTCTGAAGTAGCTGTGCTATTTGCATTCCCAGCGGCAATGAGTGAGCGTTTCTGTTGCTCTGCATTTTCGTCAGCCGTTTGGTGGTGTCAGTGCTTTGAGTGTGAGCTGTTCTAATAAGTGTGCAGCTGCATCTCACTGTTATGTTAATTTGCAGTTCTTTAATGACATCTGAGGTAGAGCATCTTTTCATATACTTATTTGCCATCTAGATCTCATTTTGGAGGAGGTACCTGTTCGAATCTTTTGTCCACTTATTAATGGGGTGACTCATTTTCTTACTGTTGAGATTTAAAAAGAGCTCTTTGTATGTTTTTGGATGCAAATTCTTTATTAGACATGTGTTCTGCAAATATTTTCTCCCAGACTTTGGCTTGTCCTTTCATTCTCTTAACTGTGTCTTTTGCAGAGCAAATGTTTTAAATTTTAGTGAAGTACAACTTAATTTTTTCTTTCTTGGATCGTGCTTTTGGGGTTGTATCTAAAAACTCTTGTCAAAATCCAGGGTCACCTAGATTTTCTCCTAGGTGTTTCACAGTTTTGAGTATTACATTTGAGTTACATATGATCCATTTTGAGTTATTTTTTTTCTTAAGAAAAGCCTGCTCACACCTTTATTTGGGAGGTGGGGAGGGTGGCCAGAGCTGTTGGTGGGATGGGCCGCTTCCTCTTCCCCATCATGGGCTTCTTCTGGCTGCACGTGATGGCGCTGCCCTAAGAGCTGGGACCCTGCACAGACCCAGTTGGTCCTTGTTCTTGCGGATCCCATGCCCGGTGCTGCTCAGGGTGGCCCCAGCATCCTTGTTGATGGTGGTCTGCCGGTAGGTGGCCGGCTCTCGCTGGCCAGATCTCTGCTTCGGGACAACCACCACACCTTTGCCATCAGTGCCCGGCCCCACACCCACAGGCCTGATTGGATCAGCCCATGGCAGCGTTGTAGCCGAAGGAGTTGTGGGCCTTCAGACTGTTGGGCTGGGCGCTGTGCGTCTGCTTGTTCCTCTTGATCAGGAATCTGAGTAGTTCCCTGCACCGTCCATTGCAGGTGGGCAGACACGGGGGCTGCTCCCCTTGCTGGGGTGCTGGGAGGCAGAAAGAATGTGCGAGTATCTTTTTAAGAAAGGTGTAGCATCAGTGTTGGAGTCATTTTTTTACTTGTGGATATCCAGTTTTTCCAGCCCCTTTTGTTGAAAACACTACCCTCCTCACTGAACTTGAACTTGTTTCACACTGTTGAGAGAGAAAGCAAACCTGAATCAACTGTTACTGCGGTGGCCAGTTGTGTAGCAGGCACGCTGTATTCGAACAGGCCCGTTGGTGCTCACGAGTGGTCCTGGAAAAGAAGGTGTTATCGGTTGATGGTTGCTGTCAGGGCCAAGAGCTAGAGCCCCAGGACAGCACCTTCATTCTCTTTATTCTGTGCGCGTTACCGGACAGTGGTGTGAAGATATGAACATTATGAGATGACAAGGAGGGGGCAGCTTTTACATCATTCTGGGAAATGTCTCCCAGAAGAGGTCCAGGTGGAACCCAGACTCAGAGTGGCAGAATTTAACCACAGTGTTTGAAAGGCATTCGGGGTAGAAAGAATAGCACTTGCAACAGCTGAACCGTGTGAAAGGGTATGTCAGAGCCAGGGACCTCTGACTGGTTCTTCGTGATGGGAACACAAGGGGACCAGCGATGGCAGATGAGACAAGAGTGAGATGTCGGGTCAGGTTGGAAAGCATCTACCACCCTATGGCATTCACACTTGACTTTAGACAGTGGTAAATGGTGGAAAGTACGTTTCAGCAGCAGGTGGGTACCACCATTAGGTCTGTGTTATAGCAAAATAACTTTGTTGGCAGGAAGGGTTGAAGGCAGCAGAGCTGAGGGAGGGAAATCAGCTGCAACGCTACGGTAACAGTAAGAAAGAGGACTAAGCTTAAATTATAGACATGGCATTAGAAATAAAAACTGAAGATAGATGTGATGTACTTCTAAAAGATAGAATCAAATTGCAATATATAACTGCCTGGCAGTGGCTTAATTTACTTACAGTGAAAGTAATTGGGATCTGGAATTAACACCATGGGGTTCTAAGGACAGTGTTAGTAAATGCAGGAAGGTGAGGGGATAGAGGAAGTGATTGATCCAAATATTCCTTTTTCTTCAATACCATTCGTCCCTGAATGCACATATACACATCATGGGCACAGTCCTAGAAAATACTTGCTTGTTTGCGTGGTTTTGTTTGTTTGTTTGTTTGTTTTTCATGAAAAGAGGCACAGCAAGCGAAGGAGAGTTCTAGCTTTCTCTTGACATCAGGTCACCTACTTCTCAGTTACACTTTTCATCCATTTGTGGAAGTACTGTGTTATCTTTAGTCACTAGATCCGTCTCTCCTGTTAGACTAGAAGTTCCAAGAGGGCAGGAGAAATATCTGTTTTTGCTCATTTTTTTCTCTAGCACGTAGCACATGGCAGGTGCTCAGTTGGTGGACAGGCGGGCTGATGGGTGGGGATGGATGGGGATATAGATGAATGACACGGATTACTAAATGGGTTCTAGTCACAGCATTGCCATTGTGTGAGTTTGCAGGCTGCATCTTTTAAGATCTTTCTAAAAACCAGTGATTGCTATGATTGGGTGACCATTAGAATCTCTTGGTCATCTTAAAAAATATATGTACATAACATGTATATTCCTGTTTCTCCTTCCCCCTGAGTCCTGACCGTGGTTATTTTGAAAATGCCACCAGACTGCATTTCTGATGATGAACAAGGGTTTAGAAATAATGATTGACATAGTGTCTTAAACAGGTATACACTTAAGTCTGTGTAGTGCTTTGTTCATATCTGTTAAAGCAGTTAACTCATTGTATTGTAATAAAGTGTGTCTGTTTTATATTTCTTGAACTAGAAGCTACTTCGGTATAGAGTGAATTTCCTAGTTTTCTTGGTTCATGACCCGAGCAAAATCCAGGGCCGCTCAGACCAGGCATTTTCTCAACTAGCAGCTTAGATGGTTTGTACCAGGTTAAGAATTAGTATCTCGTTGATAAAGAACTCAGACAACCCAAGTGCCTGTCAACAGACAAGTGGATAAAGAAGCTCTGGTACATATATACAGTGGAATATTATTTAGCCATAAAAAGAATGTAATCTTACTATTTGTGACAGAATAGATGGACCTAAAGGGTATTATGCTAACTGGAATATGTCAGTCACAGAAAGACAAATACCATATGATTTCACTTATATGTGAAATCTAAAAAAAAAATAAATGATCAAACAATGGAAACAGACTCATAGATACAGAGGGGAAAGGGGCTGGGGGCTGAGTGAAAAAGGTGGGTATCATTGTGCAAAGTATGATTGTCTAACCACTATGCTGTATGCCTGAAACTGGTACAAAATAGTGTTGAATATGAACTGTAATTGAAAAATAAAATTTAAAAAGGAAATAGCGTCTCATTCTAAATTGTGACAAAGCCTACCATTGAGGAGACATTTTGGAGCTATCAAATATTTATGATCATTGTATCAGTGATAAATAAAAGGTAAGATTAAGGAGATAAGTAGCAAATAGAGGCTACTTTTTATGTGCTCTGGTTCTCACAGAACACACTCAATTAGGCCTGAAAATAATATCACTACCTTAAATAGGGATGAACAAGAACAAGGGAACAGTTACTTTTCTTGCATCTTTATGTATCAAGTTGTAAACATGAAGGACTGACGAACTTCTCCTCTTCTGTTATTAAGGAAGAAAAACAGAAAAAGAAAATGGCTGCCAAGTTGGAACTCGCAAAATTTCTTCAAGAAACGGTTACGGAAATGGCAAGGAGGAACAAGGCCGAGCTGGGAGACGCCTCCACACAGTTCTCGTCCTATGTCAGACAGGTGTCTGACGTCTCTGATGTATAATAATACCGAACGCCTTCTAGGCTGGGGATCTTATGAAAGATGCATGTCATCATGGATCTTCCAAACTGTTTACGATCTGTGAATTTGCAAATCTAAGTTGTATGGATAGGATATTGCAAACATTTATAGTAGTTTGCAGAAATGTCTGTCTTAAAGCAGTCAATGTGCTGAAGACATCGATAACTTCTTGGAAAGAGCAGTAGAATTAGTCAAACTTTTGAATACTGATTTTTCAGTGACTTAGGCCAACTTCAGATTTTTTTACTCCTCTTTGTACCACAGGTACATTTCCAGACTTAAGGTAGAATCTATAAATGCTTTGACGTGTCTTTCAAATAGTCTCCTGGGAAGGTTAAATTAAGTAGGAAACTCATTTTAATTTTTTAATTGGGCCCTTTTGTCCCACTGCCTAGGTCCAGACAGGCCACAAGCCCAACACGAAGGAGATAGTTCGCTTTTCCAAACTGTTTGAGGATCGGCTAACCCTAGAGCACTTGGACCGACCTCAGCTGGTTGCCCTTTGCAAACTGCTAGAACTGCAGCCTTTTGGAACCAACAACTTGCTCCGCTTTCAGCTCCTGATGAAACTGAAGTCTATAAAAGCAGATGATGAAGTAAGAACTTAACTATATCTGTAGGGAATTAGCAAGGCATTAGGAGATATTTTAGGGGGTCTTTGTGAAAAAGTGCAGTATCTTCTGTGAGGTCTGTTCATAGACTGGTTCTGGCAAAATAAGTGGTTTGGATAATCATTACCATAACATCTGAACCTTGATTACTAATTTTAGGAGTTACTATACTGACCCATTTTCTTGAGAAGGCCATATAAGCAGCTAATAATTTGGACATCTTAGCTCAAGCTAATCTAAAGCAGTTAGGACCCACTCGGAAGGAACAGCAGCTCAGTGGATTCCTGACTTCTATTGCCGAGGACAGGGCTCTACCCCCATACCGCTGCTCCCTGCTGTGGAGCTGGTGCCAAAGTAAATATTCTGCTGGGAGAGCTGCCTGGTAAGGAGGGCAAAACGTAATGCAGGGAGGGAGAATGGCACTTGGGCATCTGTGGAGGAAAGGCACTGTTTGGGCTATAACTACTGATTAGATTCCATTAAAAAATGGAAAGACTCTGCCCTGGCTGGTGTGGCTCAGTGGCTTGAGTGCCGGCTTGCGAACCAAGGGGTCACTGGTTCAATTCCCAGTCAGGCCACATGCCTGGGTTGTGGGCCAGGTCCCCGATTGGGGGTGTGTGAGAGGTAACCACACATTGATGTTTCTCTGCCTCTCTTTCCCCTTCCCTTCCTCTCTCTCTAAAAATAAATATATAAAGTCTTTTTATTTTAATGGAAAGCATCTTTCTTGAATCTGAATCAGCTGCTTTAAAGCATTCTGCCTGAGGGAGCAGGATTCTCAGAACTGAGACACATGATCCCATTGGCCCCATTCAGATTTTAGTTCTTGTTTTCAGAACTTTGGAATAAACAATCCTGGTCCCAGAAGTATCATAGTTTTGGGTCACACCAAGCAGAAATTGTGTTATTTATTGAGGGAGTTTTGTGAACCAGAGAGTTAGGGCCACCCCTGGGGTGTTGGTGGGGGATTGTGGGGAAAGAACACCACTGGGACACGCAACAGATGGTACATAGAAAGCTTTTCAAGTGAAATGTTTTTTAAATGAATCCTAAAGCTGCCATGAAAGGGGAAGAGTAAAGATGTCCCAGGCAGGCAAAGGCAAACCAAGGTAATTACTTTGGCAACAGTGTTGGGAAGAAGTTATGTAAATATCTCCAACAGCATTAATACCTCCTGGCAGGATTCCCTTCCTCTCAACGACTGCACTTTCCTGAGTCGTCCTGATTTGCAGGCATGTGGCCTCTGTGCAGTCAGTGCTGGGGACAGAGTGTGGAAGCATCAGACCCCGTGTTTCCTTGATCAGCTGGAGTTTAGGGATTAGGTAAAACAGGAGCCAAAAGATCCAATACCATTCCTTACATTTCTTTCAGATGATCGCCAAAGAAGGGGTGAGTGGCTTGACTGTGTCGGAACTTCAAGCTGCCTGTAGGGCCCGAGGGATGAGGTCGCTGGGTCTCACTGAGGAACAACTGAGACAGCAGCTCAGAGAGGCAAGTGGCAGCATTCCGGGGCCTGTTTCGCTCAGCTGTCTCCCCTACGCTTTGCAGACCTCACTTTGTGATTTCTACTTTATCACAAGTAGACCACCTTATTTAATTCGCCTTATTTAATTGAGCAGTGGGATACCAAAGCAGCTAGATTGTTTGACTGAGACAAGGTATTGTATTCATTTTCTATTGCTGTGTAACAAATGATCACAAATTTAGTGGCTTAAAAGAACACCCACTGCCCTGGCTGGTGTAGTTCGGTAGACTGGGTGCAGGCCTGCAAACCAAAGGATGGCCAGTTCAATTCCCAGTCAGGGCACATGCCTGGGTTGCAGGCCAAGTCCCTAGTACAGGGTGTGTGAGGGGTGGGCACACATTGATGTTTTTCTCCCTCTCTTTCTCCTTCTCTTCTCCCACTCTGTAAAAATAAATTTAAAAATTTTTTTTAAAAGAATGCCAATTTATTAGCTTGTGACCCTGTAGGTCAGAGGTGCCAGCTGTGTTCCTTTCTGGAGGCTGGGGGGAAGACTGTACTTCCAAGCTCATTCACTTTGTTGGCTGAGTTCAGTTCCTTGCAGCTGCAGGACTGAGGTCCTTGTTTCCTCACTGGCCATCAGCCCTGGGCTACTCTCAGTCCTGGAGGCCACTAGCATTCCTTACCTCTAGGTCACCTCCATCTGCAAAGAACTTCTCACATGCTAACCCTCCACATGCTTTAAATCTCAGACTTCCTTTGCAGCCCCCCCCCCCCGCCACTTTTATTTTAATCTTTGACTCCAGATTTAAAGGTCTCATGTGATTAGATGAGACCTACCCTGATACCCTTCCTATCTTAAGGTCAACTGACTTGGAACCTTAACTGTATCTGCAAAATCCCTTCCTAGCATCACCTAGAGTTGTGTTTGGTTGAATAATAGCAGGAGGTGTGGGTGCACGAGGGACTGGAAATCTCAGGGCCGCTTTAGAATTTTGCCTACTCCGGGCATTGCAAGGGCCAGGCAAGATCCCTAATACAAGGCCTGTCATCCGTGTGAGCCCATCTGCAGGTGTGGCCTTGGCTGCAGCTCACCTGGGCCTTTCTCCCTAGTAGTGCCCTAAACCAGTGTGAAGTGTTAGCTTTGGAAACATGTTTAGCATTTCCCCTCAGATAACATATTTTAACTGAATGTAATGCTTTAAAAGAAAGGAGTATATCCTATTGAAATTCTCATTCCTGTAACTGTGAAAAGTTCTGTAAAGTGTGCACATATTATTTGGGGATAGGAGCCACTGCTGTGATTGTGAGACTGTGTCGGGTAGCTTTTTCCTCTTGTATCAGGGGTGTCAAACTCATTTTCACCGAGGGCCACATCAGCCTCACAGTTGCCTTCAAAGGGCCCAATGTAATTTCAACTCCTTAACAGTTAGGGAGTAGTTACATTTACACAGTCCTAAAATTACATTCGGCCCTTTGAAGGCAACCATGAGGCTGGTGTGGTCCCCGGTGAAAATGAGTTTGACACCCCTGTCTTACATGTTGGGCCTGCTCTGGTTTGCAGATGGACATATTGCAGAGAGGTACCAAGATAATTCATTTCTTAAACAGAGAGTGTTAAGTGGGTTCAACTGTCAAGTTGCTTTCTTGAAAGCGTGTGCCCTTTCACAGCCCCGCTACAAGGGAGTGAGGCTGCAAACCTGGCCCGGGACACGCAGCACTCTGGACTGTTATTCAAAAACCCTGTGCTGGGATACGGGCAGCCGTCGAAAGAGAGGAGGATAACAATGGTCAACATGAAACGTCTTCACTTCATAATGAGACAGAACTATGAGACACCGCATTTACCTATTATGTGGACAGAGATCAGATTTTGATAGTGTGCCATGTTGGTGAGGGTGTGGCAGGGGGAGGGGCACTCATGCATTGCTAGTAAAAATTTCCATAGAGGTCTGGCTGTATCTTTCAAAAATTTAAAATGCACTTAGTTCAACCTGGCAATTTCACCTCTAGGAATTTACCCTATGTTCTTGTACATGTACAAATGACATATCTACAAGATGACCCGCTGCAGCACTGTTTGTAACAACAGAAGGTTAGAAACTGCCTAACATCCATTAATAGGAATGTAATCAAATGAATCATGGCATTTCCATACAGTGGAACCCCTTATGGATGTTTAAAAAGGAGGCAGGTCTTTGTCTACTGATATGAATCATTTCTGGGATGAAGTATTTCCGTGAAAAAAAGCAAGGACAAAAGTGTATATCTCACTCACCCTTAGGGTAAAGATAAAAAAGATACAGATGTTGCTTGTTGCTATGTGCATGGGGTAGCTCTGGAAGATTGAAGAAGGGACTGGTACCAGCACTTGCTTCCGGGGAGGGACACAGGGTAGCAAGAAAAGTGGGTAGGAGACCAGCTTCTTTTTATTGATTTCATTTGACCTTTGAATTTTAGGCCTATATTATTGACCTAAAAATATTTTTAAAGCCTGGCCAATTTGGTACTACTTGAAAACTGACATCGCATTCTCATTTTAACGTGTCTTTGGTTATGAGTGCGGCTGGTTTATTCTTTAACATCTACTTTGTGTCTCAGCAAAGATACTTAGCCTGTTCAATCCAGAGCTGGTTTGAGAGTTGAACTAAACATTCCTTCTCTGACCCTGAGAGGTTCCCGCTGGAGGGAGGGGGTTGCAGCACGACCACTGGTGCAGAAGCCGGCGGCTACCGTGCCAGTCCTTGTCCTGACCCTAGTTGCCAGCAGACGCCGGGGAAGCTGTAAAGCTGGAGCAGCGGTGGGTGATCGTGGGTCACGTCTGGTCCTAACGTTTTGTGATTCTGTCCTGTTTTATTTCCCCCCCCATTCTCCAGTGGCAGGACCTCCACCTGAAGGAGAATGTCCCCCCTTCTCTTTTGCTCCTGTCACGGACCTTCTACCTCATAGATGTGAAGCCAAAGCCGGTCGAGATCCCGCTCAGTGGGGAGGTGAGTGCCCGGGCTCCCAGAGTCTGGGTTTCCAGAACTGGGGCCTCTCCACAAACCTCTCACTTCCTGTTGCAGTCAGAGTCGGCATTTCTTTTGTAATTTGGCCCAATTGGCCTTAAAACATTAAAATCACTGAAGCTACCTGTAGCTGTGGGGCTGTTACTGCCTTTAACCCTAGCTTGATGATCTAGGGGGCTTACTAATAGGAGCTAGTTTGCTCTTTAACTGTGACTCACTAACCTCGTGGTCTTCAGACTGTTCTCACCACTGACTCCTTGGAGACCGAGTGGCTCCTGTTCCGTCACGTCTGTTTCATTTGTCCGATTCCTCTTAATTTTTAGGCAGTGAATGGCCAATCTGGAATGTGAACTTTTTGTCTTCCTGCAACTCATTTCTTAATCATTGTTCATTGCCTATTGAGTCAGCAGCTTTATTTGTCCTGGTATTTTACTGGAGGGCCCAGAACAGGCCCAATCACTAGAGCGTCTTGCCCTGGGTCCTTCAGAAAGGGCCGCTCAGCTGTCTGCTCTGTGGCTTTAAGTCTAACTCAGAGCCTGCATGGGTGAGAAAGGGAAGGGCCAGTCCAGAACAGGCCGCATATGTGGTTTAGCAGATTAAACTAAATACTCTGGAGTGAGGACCGACCATCTTTTAATCTCAGTTATGCTGCTGACTCCTGGGACACGCCAAGGAAAATTACAGGAAGTCCAGCACGTAGCATGCACGCCAGGAGACACCACCTGGCCTTCCCTGTGCATCTGGACTCGGGTTTTGTCCAGGATGGATTCTAGGGAGACTAGGTAGGAGCAGTTTTGGAGCACAGACCATGTTCTAAAACGCAGGCTACTGGATTCTCACCCTCTTTGGTCTTCAAGACACACGGTTATCTGTCATTCTCAAGCTGCTGTCAGGAGCAAGGAGATCTGGGAACAGCACACTGTCTCAGAGCTAAATTTGGGTTCTCAGAATTCTTGTAGATGGCCAGAAACTCTTTATCCAGATGTTGTTTTCTGGGATGGTTGAGAAAGACCTAGGAATTAAGGACAAAATGACAAACTCCTAGGCATTTTATTGGTTACTTTTTTAAAAATCCACATTTTAAAATTTCTATTCTCCACATATACAAAATGAGAACAAGTAGCATGCTAGGCTCTGTAAAACTGTAGAGACATCAAATAGAATATTCTATAATTTTGGATAAATGTAGCCCTTTCCCCTCCAAAGTACACAGAGACATTACTTATTTTCAAAAGAGCAGTGATATGTATGTTTTCACATATAATTAATATGGCTCTTAAAGACAGGTTAGCTAGCTATTTAAAATACCACCCTCTCCCTCCCTTTCCCCCTGCATTGCAGGGGCTTCTGTTAAACAGCACCTACCATTTAAATAACTTTTATCATTTATTATTAGAAACCAGCAATGGTAAAGATGTCAATTTTGGCCAAGTTATATCCATGCCATTAGAAATAGATGAGTAATTGAGAAATGGCAACTTTTGCTTCTTGAGAGTAGAATATGACCAGAATTGGCAAAAACTGTTAGCTTGTTAATGACCAAGGATTTTAAATCCTAGAATCTAATTCAAGTGTAACTTTTGCATATATAGTGTGCTCAAGAGTTGATACTAAGATAAATGATTCTAAGTTGTTATTTCAGGGACATACTTCAAATGTTACTCATAAAGCATCTAGTTGGAGGAAGTTAGGGATTTACTGGAAAGCAAACTGCGCTAGAAAGCAGTGACTACTTACTATAGAAGTGCTTCTGAGTTTCAGGAAGAGCAGAAAGCTTATGCTTACATAAAATATTTCTCTCCTTAGGCTCCAAAGATGGATATTCCTGTGGAATCACCTACTTCTGAATCTAAAGAGAACTTGGTGGACTTAGCACCCCAACTGAAGGGAACTAAGGTTACACCCTTACTTTTTATTTAACTAATTAGGTTAAAAGGAAAAAGAAGTTGATTTCTTTATTTTAACTCCTTTAATGAAACTGAACTCCAAGGGTGTTCTTTAATAAGGAATAATCATTGTATTGTTTGGTCTGTTTTTGAGAAAGTTTAACACTTGGTTGTGTATCATTAGGTTCCAGATTTTGCCTCCTGCATCCGGTGCCGGAATGTATAGTAGTTGTTACACGTTCCTGTGACTGCAGATCTCATGCCATTGTTTCAAAACCAGTGACCTAACTCTCAGTTCTGATGTTTAAGGATGAAAACTACCTGCAGCTGCCCCCGGTTATGTCTTCGCCCCTGACACCCTCAGCGTCGATTCCGCTGCCGCAAGGGCCCATCACTTCCGCTGAAGAAGTTGTAAGTGTGGTCTAGAAAAAGAAAACCTCCTTCCCGCCCGTTGTTCTTAAGGGCAGTGAGAATCGAGAATTATCACCGTTGTGAAACACTGCACAGCTCTTCCTCTTATCCAAACAGGAAGTTGTAGGCCGAATTTTAGTCATCTCACAACCACGACATTTTTAAAATTCTATTATCCAAAAGCGAAAAAAAAAAATAACCAGTGTAATCGTGGATCAGACCTCAACATGTTAAGCCTAGAAGCTGATTACAATATAGACAGGTTCTTACTTTCCTTTGTGCCAAATGGAAATAGCTCCCGTGTGTTGGGTGTTTCACACAGGACTCCACGTCAGGAAACACTACCAGGAGAGCAATTTGAATCTTAGGAAAAATGCTTGCAAATAAGAAATCCCTTATCTCTTTCCCATTTGGAGAACAAAGTTTGGGGCAGGAGCAAAGAGCATGACGCAAGCAAACAGAAGGGCGTGGGGGCGTCGAGCTGTGTAGCGAGTGGCTCTGCGGGCTCCTGCGGACCAGGGCGCGCACCCGTGCACGCGTGCCTGGGCACACTGATGTCCAGAGGCCTGGTTTGCAGGTCTTTGTTTTGATTAAGAAAACCGAACAGGGACTCCTGATGAATTTCCACATCTAACTGGGACCAAGGCCTAATGTCCTTATGTTTTGTACCTAGGTGCTCCAGGCCAAATCACAGAAGGCAGTCCAGGACAGCAAGGCCAGTTCCAAAGCAGCCTAAGGACGACTGGAGGACGCAGCCCGCCCTCTCCGGCTCCCTGCCCTCGGCAGTGGGTTCATGAGGGACCTCCCAGCCGAGACTGTCTAGTGTGGGGAGAGGACCTGCCACTTAGTCCTTGGGCAGTCCTTTGAGACCTCGTAAACATTCCAGATGATGTCAGCAGTGAGACCAAGTTCAGGCCATTTAGAAAAATATAATTGCAAAGCCCATTTCCTCTGTGCCATTATGTCATCCCACTAAACTTTGTGTAAAGCCCCCCTGCCCCACACTGTTTTTAACAACTCCGTATCTGTGCCCACGTCCTTTAAGGGAGGAACTGTGTAATGGAACCAGCTTAGCAACTTAGACGATTCTGCCTCCTGTGGCTTGGTAACCTGCCTAAGAACTTGAAAACTCCGAAAACCAGTGTAAGAGCACCTGACCGACTTTTTCAGAGTGATCCATCAGTAGGAACAGCACTTGATGAGATGGAACGGATATTCCCCAGTGAGGCCTTTCTGGATGTAACGAAAAAACTTCTTGGAGAATAAAATGGGGAGTTAGACTGGCAATCCAAAAAGTTTGGCTGCTGCTGGGCTGTTCTGCGACTTCCCCCTCCGGGCCTGCAGGGGTCTGGGAGGCTGCCACGACTCTAGCACATATGGCTTTCATCAGCCACCATTTTGCTAGGAAACATAATTAAGGGTTTAAGGCTTAACCATTTGTTTGTGCTGGGTGTGTGTTTTTCTGGCCCGTCTTTCACAAACAAGACTATTTGTTAGTCATAGAGGCTGTTAAAGTCTGATAGAACTCCTATGCTACCCAGTAACAAACATTTCGTCCAGGTATTTGTCTGGTGTTTTCTGGATTGTTGATACTGAAAAAGCAACGTCACCGACTGCTGTGAAGCTAACCAGCAGTCTTTTCCCTTGGGGAGCGCTTAGGAGGGAAGAGGTATTTCGGCCTCTGGATGATGAAATTATATTTCTTTACTTGCTGTGAAATTGAAAGCAGTTTGCTGGGAATCAGTTAGACTAAGTGAAACAACTGTCTCTGTCTGGGATCACCTAGACGAGGGCTGTTGTCAGCACTTCACAGCAAGGATGTGCTTTTATAAGCTTCCTGACCCTCCTCTTGGCCGGAGGACAAGCCCCACCATGTCCCACGGGTGAACTTCAGTTCCTTGAGAACAACGAACCCCTACTATACAGCATTCCATGGATCTTGCCATTGCCTGGCAAAGTGATTCATATTAACTTCCCCACTTTTAAATAATGGGTGTTTACTTTAATTAGTTCACATTTCAAGTGTTGACTGTGGGAAAGGGATTAGCTACCTGTTGAATCCTGTTTAAGCTGAATGATTCATCTGTATTGTTGGGCTGCGGTCTTTCTGCTGTGTCCTACTCACGGAGTGGGGATGGGGAGGTCAAGGGGCCCCTGGTCACTCCTGGCCTCAGCTGGCCCTCACCCATTTCTGCTTCATAACCAGGCACCCACGCTGTGGCACACCTGTCCCTTCTTACGACAGCAGCTCGGAGAAGTCAAGGTCGTCTCTTTGCCCTCATCACTTAGGCTTGGCGGTTGGCTCCCATGACTGTCAGCTCCAGCCCGTGCTGCACCTGAGTTACAGGTGTGCTGGGAAATGACTGACAACGACCTCGGGTGGGGGGCCCCAATCTGCAGCCTGCACACATTCCAGTGATGTAGACTCCCACACGGCCGACTTCAGGCCACCAGCAGGCCACCCAACAGCAGTTGGAAAAGATGTACACCCAGTCCCAGTACACGACCGACTCCAGCGCCCACCAAAGCAGTGAGAGACACTGAAACCTCACTTGTCACGTTCATTAAACCTCACTTCTGCGCACCAGCAGTATATGTGATTCTACACGTCACGTGGCCACCTAGAGAGAACCTGCCCCAGACCGAGTCTTCCTGAACACCTGGGTTCCTGCAGACCTCCCCTCCCTGAACACCTGGGTTCCTGCAGACCTCCCCTCTCCCTGGCTGTCACCTGGCTGGGGTGAGAGGCTGGGCCAGGGCACCAGAAAGCTTTCTCCTTTCTCTGCTCTCTACCGTTCCCTGCAGGTGCATGTACCTTAGTGTACCAGCTGCTAATACTCTTGAGTATAGTTTTGGTGCTTTTCTGAACCCACACTGAGTGATTGTAATGTTAGACATGGCCTGTGTCTTTGCCATTAATTCTGCTACAATGGGTGCTGGAAGCCCTTGACATTCATGGACCTACACTTGTGCTGTGTTGAATTCTGTACTTCACTCATTACATTTTGGTGGTATCAAATACTCTGCAATGCTGAAACCTAGGCTAACAAGGTCTCCCAGTCACCAATACACACCTAATGGAACTTCAAAGCAGACTGGCACACTTTATCTAATGTTGACTGAGCTTGAGCTTTTGGCCTGCTGGCGCCCCCCAGTGGCCACTGATAAACACAGCGACTTCACTGTCATTGAGATAGATTTCTTGCTTCATCTGAGGTTCTTACTTACCTGAGATCAATACATTACATTAGCAGCACCAAGGGACTGATGACCCCCAGCCTACGGCAATTAGGAAAGGCAGAAAGGCAGTATTGATTAATACTGCGGTAATCCCAGGCTCTAATCTTTTAACCCTCAGGAAACCAGCCAAATTCAGTGTCTCAACAGTACGCTGGTTGTCTTCATTAGAGAAACCGGACTCTTTCTCTCAGGAGACCCAGTCTGGTCATCTAAGTGAAATGGTCGTTTCATTTTCTCTGAGGTCAATTTCACTATCTTTTTTATTAGACAGCCAGCTCAGTCTCTGGGGAAATTCGTGGGTGGTTTGAGCAGTAACAGCGAGGACATCGCTGTTACGACAGTGCCTTGTGTTTCTCTAGCACGTCTCCCGCGGGCAAATAAAGCCCTTCACAGATCCTCCACCCGTTTCCACAGCATTACTTCAAGGGCCAAGGCAGAGGTTACCACCACTCTTTCACAAGGAAAGACACCACTAGGTCTGAAAACAAATGTTTTTAAGAGCTGAAATTCATTTCCTGGCTCTGTTCACCAAATTGTGCCTTCATCAAACACAAACACAAACTGTAGTATGTTGACAGTTGCATATTTACAGAGACACAAGGAAAGAGAACTAATTTACAGTAGTAGCCAATACTGTAGCTGACAAAAAAAATAGCAAGCTCAGAAGGGAAACAGAGGAGCAATCTCATTTTCCTTGCAGAAATGAGAGCATACTGAACTTTCCTTTGTACTCAGCAGCAATCCAGCAAAAAACCCGAGTGCTTTCGGTATAGAGGTTGCATAGTAGCAGGTTGAGTGCTAAGGTCTAAGGAGCCAGGACACACTGATAACCAGCAGGTGGCAGAGAAAGGAAATTTCCGAGCAGCCAAAAAACAAACATTTAGAGAATGTTTTCCCTTTCCTAAGGGATGGGGTGGAGCTTGTATGGGAAGAGCTATAGGGAGCCAAGCTCTGCGACAGTCCCGACATGTGCAGTTTGGTCCCGCGGATACAGAAGACCGGTGTTGGGGAGGACCGTGAACACAGGGCAGGCTTGGACATGAGAAGCAAGGAGCCTTGATGTGAAACCAGTCTTGGGTGACAGTTTTCCCTTTCACAGCAGCACAGGCAAAACCACACACAGAGGGGTAGACAGGTGTCTGGGTCTGAGGTTCTGCATACCCTTGTGGGAACAGTCCGGAGGTTTCCTCTGCCTCTTTGGTGCTGACCCTTGGACCCAGCTCCCTCTCTGACCTCTGACCTCCCCAACCCCACCGGTTTCCCCCGTTGGCAGTTGAGGGCTGTGGGGTCTTGGCCGTCCACCCAGCACCTCTGGTGCCCTGACAGGAGGTTCCTGCCCATTATGCAGATGTCTTTTTTTCCTGCCTTTCCGAAAGTATCCGAGAGGCCCGAGGCTCGTCCGGAGGCCTCGGTACAAGACCTAAAAAGGAAGAGGTTAGGAGGACACTGCGGGGAGCCTGCGTGCCCCAGGACAGACGCAGAGACCCAGGCCCAGGGCTCTCGCTCCAGTTCCGTGGACATTCTCCCCTCTGTCACACAGCCCATATAAAAATGAAGCAGCAGCAATTTTTATTTGAGGGACCTAAACTGAAAATAGGTTTAGAACATAATTTAAAAAAATAAAACAGCAAAAGTAGCAAAAAATATATGACCTTTTTAAAAACATTTTCCTTTTTTTTTCTTTTTTCTTTGTTTTTAATATATAGCAACTGATGCCTCCCAGCCACCAGGAGCATCTTACCCAATGGGTAAATCTCTGGTAACGACCCTTTTAAAAAGACATGTAAATATATACTCAGATTTATACACTTTGTGTTTTCTTCATAGCTATGTACAAAGCCCCCAGTTCGGGGCTGGGCCCCAGGGCCGAGACACTGCCCCCAGCCTTTGCCTCCCCGCCTTCTGGTACCAGGCATTTGGTCAGCAAAGCAAATTAGTATCAGAATTAACAAGCCACTGGCACCACCGTATCTCTGGAGCAGAGGTCGCCGTCCACTGAGGCCCGAAGCACTGACTTGCCCTCCCTACTACTGTGGCCACGAGGACGAGGCACCTGCCGTCAGACCTCAAGGGCTTACGGGGAGCAGTGGGGCAGGCAAAGCCCACCCGAGAAAGCTCAGTCAGCTCTCGCGTGCGCGCCTGCTCAGTGCCGTGGGCGTGCCTCGCCTCCCACTCTCTAACCCTGCAGGCAGGGCCAGGCGGGGGGAGCGGTCTTGGTCCCACGTCTGGGAGGGAGCGGAGTGGCCACCAACAAGTACCTGCCTCTCCGCTCCTCTCTCTCCTAAGCAGGCTGAGAGGAGGAGGAGGGGTGAGCTCAGTGGGGGGAAGGCCTCAGGTAGGCAGCTGGCTCCTACCAGCAGGAAGGGGCAACGGGAAGGCAGTGAGTCCAGCAGGGGGCAGTGGGTGAGGGATGCAGCGGAGGATGAAGTTCGGGGAGGGGCAGTGCTGGGGTGCTAGTCAGCGTCGTTTGAGTCCGCCATTGGCAAGCTGGGCTGGGTGTCGGGGCAGACAGGGCTCCTCAGGCAGCGGCTCGTGAGAGAAGACAGAATCCTCCCCTGAGGAGCAGGTAGAGCTTCGGGTGTCAGGAAAACTGGGGGAGTACTGGTCCAGGGGCATCGACAGGTCCAGGTACTCCTGTGCCAGGGAAACCAGAGAACAATGCGTCCCGCACTCTCCTCCCTGTGGCAGCTTCCTTCACCGGGATCTACCCGACTGACGACGCCCGGAGGTCTAGGATGGGCCAGCCTCACCTGGTTGGAGGTCAAGGCCACGATGCGGTCCAGGTCTTCTACTAACTGCTTGAAGGTAGGTCTCTGAGAGGGCACCGCGTGCCAACAGTCCCGCATCATCATGTACCTGCGGCAGGAGTATAAGGTCCGGGGAGGAAACACTGTAAGCAGAGAAACTTAGAAGCGCACGGAGGAGGGGCGGTGGGAGGAATGACCAGGAAGGGCTGCTTCATGGAGACAAACAGCCCTTCCTTCCCCCTCCCGTCCAGCCCACCACCCTGCCCCTAGGGCCTAGACCATGGGCATCTCCTCATGCTTACAGCTCGTTGGTGCAGTTGCTGGGCTTGTCCATGCGATGGCCCTCCTTCAGCAGCTTAAAAAGCTCCTCCACAGGCACGCCAGGATATGGGGAGCCTCCCAGAGTGAAGATTTCCCACAGGAGCACCCCAAAAGACCACCTGTGGAGGCGCACAGAGCCCATGGGAGCTGTGGGCACAGGCTGGGCCAACCTGGAGTCCTTTCCGTATTTCTTTCGTTAGCCTGTCAGATACTCATCCTGAGCCCCCCACCCCCAACACCAGCCCTTAATTCCAAGGGGAACGCCAGGGGA